TTAATTTCCAGTTGAGGAAAATAATATTACACTTTAGAATTTATTTAGAGTATCTTAGCAAGACCATTCTTTGGCATTTTCTACACTTTACCCATAGCTAACTTAAAATTACTGTGTTACTAGTGTTAATGTGTTTCACTGAATCGTGTTTCAATTATATCTCCACTTGTGTTAGGAGATACTGCGGGAACTGTGTGGATTGGAACCCAGGATGGAGGGTGAGGGCATGTCATTCTTATTCATTTCATCTTACTTTAGTATATGGGCCATTCTACAGAACTGGTCCAAAGTCAGAGTTTAAAGGTCCCATATTGTACACCTTTCTGGAGTTTTATTTTAGGTTTTGATGTCCTTAAGAATATATATTTGCGGTATAAGTACCAAAAACCATCTCAATATATTTATACAGCTCCTTCTTCAGGAGCTCTGCTGAGAACAGGTCGATTTTGGCCTGTCTAATTAATATTCATGAGCCTCTCTTCTGATTGGCCTGTTGTGTACTGAGTGACGCACGACCAGGCCAACCACAGGTAACTACGGCTCTGACTAGGGTCAGCCGACGTCACAGCGCTAGCTGGAGGCAGCAAAACAAAGGGGAAACTGGTGGCGGCCCATTCAAACCAGCGCAGGTTCGGCTACATAAGGAGCTTAAAATATCATCGTGTTGTGATGTTGGGTGCCAGAATCGACGTAATACAGCCTCAAATTAGAAATTTGATCGCATATCTGCTGCCACTGCCAGACAAAAAACCGACGACAGCTGTGGTTAAACGCACTCAAAGATGCTAATCAGCACATGGTTAGCTAGCACAGTTCTGAACAGTTGTACACACATAAAAATTAAATATGGAATAACTCCTAAAAAAGTGTGCTTAATTGCAGAAAAATGGTGTTCGGTAGTGACGTTCCTTAGAGTGACGCACAGATTTTTGAACACATTTACCTCAAAATGATGGGGCCTATCTACTCACCTTAAAAACAACAATGGAAAAAAATTTAAAAATAAGTTCAAATTTAGGGGTTAGGGTTCGGGTTCGGGACAGCCACCTCCCAATTGAAAGTACCCAATAAATGACGATTTTATTTATTTATTTATTTATTAGACGCTTTTATCCAAAGCGACTTACAATATATATATAAAATCTTTTTTTTCTCAGAGGTAAATCAATAACAATTACATTTTTAACAATACTTCGTGTAATTTATGAGATTTGTTGTATTTTGAATCCAAGTTTTCTTTGTAAAAGGCAAAAAGTTGATCATACTGATTTCAAAGTTAAGGATTCATTAGGATTATGTGTTCCCTTTTCTCACTACCGAAACCATGATGACATGTTTCGGTCGTGACAATTTTATGGGATAACACCCAAAAAACAAAGATGTCACTACTGAAACTCCACCAAATGTTTCGGTAGTGACAATTTTAGATACTTTTGAACCTAGCTCTAATGGGACCTATCAACTCACACCTTGTAGCTATGAGAGAGGGGGACATAGGAATATTTCCTGATAATACATTTATGGGTGTAGTTAAAATCAGTTTCAGCCAATGGACTAAAACATGCACTGTTTCGGTAGTGACATGAAAATACGGGACACATTTTTTACATAAAGTTTCATAATTAACAAAGAAAATATAAAATAAATATTTTTTTGAACTTAACTTTTTAAAAGAATCAAAAAGATATTTTTAAAAACAACAATGGAAAAAAATTAAAAAATTATTTCAATATAATTTTCATAAATTCAAATTAAGGGGTTAGGGTTCGGGGCAGCCACCTCCCAATTGAAAGTACCCAATAAATGATGATTTTATATATATATATTAAGCTTAGTGATATTTTAAATATTATTGTGGGTTTCAATAGATAATAGAAGGATCTTAGTAGACATCTAAGATTTGAATACTTAAATGCTTTTTACATGTGTTTTTTGGTTGTGGGACAGCAGTTTGCACCAATTAAAAAGGTAAATTTGATTTTATATTTCAAAATTCTGACTTTATTCTAATATCACAATTCTAATAAGGAAAAACAACTCGTCATTCTCTCTTTTCCCCTCGGCTCTTCTGGCTTCAGTTTTGACAAACTCACTATTTTTGAGTTAAGTCGAGTTATAAAGTCCGAATTAGGAGATATAAACTTGCATTTGCGAGAAAAAAAGTCAGAATTGTGAGATAAAATAAATGTTATGTAAAAATGTTAATAGTAACCGTAGTAAGGTTTAAATAATATTTCATGCTGTAACTGTAGGGCTAATACAATACGTCCCCTATGAACAGCATATGTGAATATTATGTAGACCTATTGTTTAAATCGAATTTATGCTTTAAAAGTAGAGTAATCATAACAGTTTTCATCCATAGTATGTCCATTTAAACGTCTGCGTTTAGCTTCAAATGACGACAGTATTCTATAAAAATTATTTGCATTCCGATCTTGACATCAAAAAGCACAAAAATATTTTTTTTCTTTTATTCCATGGATTTTACCCATTTATCTCCACTTGTTCCCAGTGTTTTTCTGCAACCACAATACATTAAGCTTACTAATATTTTAAATATTATTGTGGGTTTCAATGGAGAATAGAAGGATCTTAGTAAACTGAGATTTGAATACTTAAATGCTTTTTAAATTTGTTTTTTGGTTTTGGGACAGCAGTTTGGACCAATTCTGTAGAATGGCCCATATACGTTTTTATCCCTAACATTAATTATTAAACTTTCATGCATAGTTCAGTTTATGGAAATAAATACCTCTAAACACACACATGCACATTACTTTGCAAAAATCTTAGGTCATTAGTAGCATTTTGCTGCATTTTCAGCAACAACAAAAAAAAGATTTTAAGCCAGTTATTTCTATCTTTTGCTGTATTGTGTCAGTAGGAAATATCAGTTTACATTTCCAAACATTCCTTTTGCCATTAATTGTAATAATCCAGTGAGATTTTTGTTTGCACAAGGAGTCTGACAACAGCCAGTGCTCCACACAGAGATCTGATCTCACCATCAAGAAGAAACAGAACCAACTGAGACCGACTAAATCCAGAAGAACTGCAGCAACGTCTCCAAGATGCTTCAAGAAACCTTCCTAAAAAGCCACAGTACTGTGAAAAGTTTTAGGCACTTGTGTAAAACTGCTGTAAAATGAGGATGACTAAATCAAATCAACAATTGGTGTGACCACCCTTTACGTTTAAAACGGCTTTTGTCCTTGGTACACTTGCGCATAGTTTTTCAGGTAGCTTTGCAGGTAGGTTTCTTCGAGCATCTTGGAGACGTTGCCACAGTAATAATCAATTAATGGCTAAAGGAATGTTTGGAAATGTAAACCGATATTACTGACACACTACAGCAAAAGATAGAAATAACTGGCTTAATTATTTATTTATTTTTCTGTATGGGACTCATCTACTCATGTTGTCCTCTTGCAGTGTGCTGATTCATTCATCCTCCAGCTCCAGGCGCCGCTGTTTGCAGTCTGTCAGTCTTTCTGAGGGGGTTCACTCTCTGACGTAAGAGTCTTTTGAATCACTGTCAGTTTATGTCATCTTTGATGTGAATGAAATTCCTGAGGTTTCTGTTGGAATTCCTCCTGTATTTAAAGGTATTCTCAGGGTGAGGTGATCGCTGGCTTGGCCAATGGGACGGTTGCATTCTTCACCCACAATTCAGGTGTGTGTTTGTGGTTTAGTCTGCTTGGGTGTGTTTTTTAGATATGAATTGTATTTATGGCTTGTAATGATCATTTTTCTAGGCATCTGGAATCTCCAGTCTCAAGAGGTGCTTTCGCTTGGCACAACACCTTTGCAGCCCATTCGCTGTTGCCTTGCAAAGGACGGCTGTCTTTGGGTGGGATACTGGAATAAAGTTTACATGATCAGTGTGAAAATTCGGAAAGTAGAGGTTGGTCTCGGATGGAAAAGATGTCATTGATTGTTCATCCTGTGCTTCAGATCCTCACTCTCACTCGTTCACATTTCTCTTTCTGTCCATTTAGAAATTGTTTACAGTGTCTGAGCGAAGTGAGCAGCAGGTGCGTTTTCTGTGCGCAGCAGGAAGCGGCGTTTGGGCTGCATGCCGTTTGGATCCCATTCTTAGGCTTTTTGATTGGACAACTGGCCACCCTCTACAGGAAGTAGATTTATCATCCATAGTGACTAAAGCTTTAGGTATTTGAATTGTATTTATTCATTAATATGGGTAATTCATGGAATTTTACATGCATGGGTGTCTATCATTTAAAAGTGATTTAGTGAATTTTTTTCTTTTATGGAAGACCAGTATTGACAACAGTATTGGGAAGAATCTAAAAATGTAAAAACATTTTTAACTTTTGTTTATTTTTTATTTTTTTTGTAATCAATGCAGGCTGCCATAGTTCCTCCAATTCACCAGATGGCGCAACTACTACCTCTCAGCTCATTCTCAGTGGCGGGGAAGGATACATCAACTTCCGAATTGGTGCGGCTTCTCTTTTTGGCACAGTTATTATCTGTGACTTTATATATTTTTTATTCTTCCATTGAGAATGTTTGTTTTTTAAAGAGAAGAATATAATTCACTACTTTTTCCTCTTTAGGAGATGATGGAAGTGATGGGGCCAGTGAGTCTGTCCTGCAGAGATCAGAACGAAGTCACATGATTATTTGGCAGAGCCCCACCCCCTCCGTCCCAAGCCCCACCCTCTGAAAGCACTTCAGCTGTTCACTCAAACAGTCTTTGAGCTTTATCAGGATAAGATTGTACAATGCATTACTTTTCTTCTGTCCCCCTTCTATAGATGCTCCCAAGGGGAATTATAGGGTTGAAGTCAAAGTAAAGCATTAACAGTTCTAAAAAATGTAAATTTGGACCTTCATTCTGCACTTTCATTTTAGTTTTTTTAGGGTTTTTTTGGTGAACTGACTTTAAATTACATTGTTTGTTTGTTTAAAGAACTGCTCAACAGGATCTCTCCAGTGTGTCTTAGTGTATGTTTTCAAATTCTGCCTTATTCTGTATTTGACCAGTGATTTTTTTTTTTTGTACACAATCATCCTAAATACCATAAAAAAGACAGGTTCTGATTGTAATACTAGGCCAGAAATTATTAATATAGTTTTATTTATTTTTTCAAATCATGAGGAGTGATGCATTTAAACTGAAATGCTGCTGGTCATGACATTAAGTATTTTCAAACACAATCTGTTGGTTGCTTGTTGTGCATTAGATCAACTGGAAACTTGCACAAAGAAAAATAATCTCAAAATGACAAGAAACTGACCAAGTTTGACACACTACCTACATTTTGTGACATTTACATCTATAGTGCATATATTTCAATCTGAACAAATTTTTTTTTTTTTTTAGGTTTGGTGTTTATGGTGAGGTTTTATTTTTAATTTTATTATTTTTGGTTGTTGGTTTCTTTGCTGTAAAAATAATGGAGGCTTCTGTATGGCATTTTTTGCAGTATTTTTGAATGGGGGAATGTGTGGCTCTACCTATTTAATGAGTGAGAGAGAACGTGACTTTAATGTTGTGTTAATGTTTTGTTATCTGGAAGATGTGTTATGAAAATGTGCAACTTTGCAAATACATTTTCACTAAAATCATAAATTGTTGAGTTTTGATCTGAAAAGTGATTCAGTATTATTCAAACAAAGCACTAAAGCTACATGTTTAATTTTAAAATATGAAAAATGTATCAGTGCTTGAAATTTAATCACCCATGTTTTGTACAACAGAAGATATTTTAAAAAAAGTTTTGCTGCAAAAAGAAATACAGAATTACGTGTACAAAAATATCAGCGCATACGTACAACTGTCAAAATGTATAAAGCACTACAGTACAGGTATTACCAAATAACTGCAATGTCATACTTTTTTTTATAGTAGTAGTAGCAAACACCACATCGTAACAATTATACTGTATCCGTCAACCTTCATCCTTGTAAAACGTTCTTTATCATTCCATTTTCCTTAGTTTCCAACTGAGATTTTGGCCTTATTTGTGGTATCCCAAGCCCTTTGTATGTGCTCTCAGCCATGTCTAGAGGTCAGAGGTCAGGATGTGCTGTGGCTGCGGTGGGGTTTCCGTATGCGGCGACTCAGGGTGCGAGCGAACCGGTCCACGGCATTGCGTTTGTGTGTCAGCTCATTCCCTGATATCAAACCCTCAATATTCCCACTGTACCACATGACCCAGCCCCCCATAGACATCAACACCAGCAGAGCTCCCGAATACACCAACAGATCACCAAAGTCACGACCCCCGATTTCAAGCGGGACGAAGACGCCGATCAGAAGAGCAGACACACCGAAAAGATCCATAAAGACTGCAAACACCAGGAGACACTTACAGTGGGTCAGTCCGACACGGTCAGGTCTAGACATGGTGAACAGCCTTCTGACATGAGGAGGGAGAGGTATTAAAGATTAGTAAAGAATAATCACAGTTCTAGTATGAAGAAATGAGATTTTACTAATGTGTTTGCCTATAAGAAATAGCCTACATACTCTTTACCTGAAGGATATTTTTTTTATTTTACAGCAATATATAGTCTATCTTGATGTAAAGTAAAACACAAAGTATATTGTTATACTTGAATTTGTATACTAAAATGCTTGGGGGGGAAAACCTGTTGCACGGGTTTTGCTTTACCAATAGCCTACATAATCTAGCACTGTTTCCCAAATAAAGAAAACAAAGTATATACACTGAGAGATTATCATTTTACTTACCTTTGTTATCACAGAAATTATATTCGCTTGCAAAACTGTCGAGAAAGACTCTTTCATTTAGATAACAAACATTTTGGTCGTTTGTGTGTTCCGGGATTTACCACCTGCGCTGCAAACTGGCTGCGACGTCACACAGGTGTGTCACATGACACTGACTCTCTCTCGCGGTTGTGGCTAGAAATGATACAGCTACGGCCGAAAAATAAAAATAAATTGCATTTGCTACCTA